TATAAAGGGAGAATTAATCAACCCTTTGGGTTTTAATATGGCGGAGTTTGCTATTGATCCTTTGTATTCAAAAATACTATTTAGTTCAGGTACAAGAATGTAAATATTGTTTAAGTACATCACTAATTGTTGAGTGCAGACTTTGTTATTATTAGTAACTTCTTCCGGGTTACGCTGTGGTCGGTTGGCTTTAGTTGACGTTTCGCTGTTCATGCTGTTAGCTTCTTCAGAAGGATGAGTAACGTCAAGTAACCGACCACAGAAGTTCCTTTATTAATAATTTTTTACTTCAGGTGATTTCGGTTGCTCAGAGGAAATACTAACAATAATTTCAATGCTGCAAGTTGAATCAGTTTTTACAAAACCGTCTACTGGAAATATGATTGCAAAGTCAAGGATACAAAGAAGAAATTTTGAGGTTGCCGAAGGGGATTTAATAACATACTTGAATATATATTCAGCGTTTGTTAAAAGTGAAATGGATAAAGGATTTTGCCACAAAAATTTTATCAATTACAAAGCAATGAAAAGAGTGGCAGATGTAAGAAGTAATCTCCAAAAAATGGCCCTTAACTACAACATACCACTTATTTCGTGTCAAGGTAACTATTTGTAAATAAATAAACAGTAACATAGCTCTATATTATCGATTATTTCGTAGTTAATTAAAGGTGCTTTATATTGTTAAAACATTGTCTTTAGGTAATACAGAGGCTATATGTAAATGTCTAGTAACTGGGTTATTTCCTAATGCAGCCTATTTACATTACTCTGGCGTTTATAAGACAGTTCGAGGAAACATTGAACTTTATATTCACCCTGATAGTGTTTTATACACTATAGAACAACCCCAATGGTATGTTATTGTCTTATTTTTTACAGAACTTAATTTGGAATGAGGAAAAAACTCAAGCAAATTGAAGAATAAAAACTTTTAATTTATTTACGTAATCATGCTAACGTTTCGCTTTACAGTGATAAATCTTCATTAGGGTAGATTATGAAAGTCACGCACACAGTCTATCTCGATGGACCTTTAATACTGTAAAGGGAAATGTTGACATTATTATATAAAGAAATAGTTTTTATCCCTTTAGTTTTCTTGAGGAAGAATTGCGAGGTATACTCAATATGGAATAATTTTCTTTTAGGTTACTCTTTTGTGAAGTGGTACAAACAACAAAACTCTTTATGAGGGACTTGACTGTTATAAATAGTGACTGGTTATTAGAGTTGGTTCCACATTTTTATCATAAAACAACTTGTTATAATTACTGACTGTTATTGTATTAGAAAAATTGAATTATTTCAATAAATATTTGTCTAAGTAATTATTACCTTATCTAATTAAAAGAATCAGAAGGCATACAGCTCCTTCAAAAGATCTAGCGACAAAATTCAAAATTGAATGACTACCTTAAACGTTTTAGTTTCAGGTTTCATTGTAATATTTAGTGCAACTTGTTAATGTTTTAGATGAACCAGAACCAACCCCTTCATCCTTTTATATACACATGCACCTGCCCTATAATATCCTATATCTTAATTGAAAGAAAATAAATCCTACCTTTACTGCAATGTTATTGTGCTGCATATGACGAATTTCCCCAGTGGGTGCTCCTAAGACTTCCTCTCTCCTTTTTCTTTGGAATCAGGCACAGTCACATACCGTAAATGCCTATTTAAGAAGGCATCGACACTAGACTACATCGCAGTAAAAAAAACCTTTGCACATTTAAAACTATTGTTACT